GATTCACCTATTGTAGACTCCGTGGCCCTTATTTATGGCTAGAAACCAATTATGAGTGAGTACATCCCATGTTCATCTTTTTGGGTCTGGGATACCTCACTCAGGATAGTGTTTTCTATTTCCATCCATTTGCATGATGTCGGGACCACGAGGGATGCACCCACCCACTGAGATAGTGGAGCTGATCTATTGGGAGCTCACCAAGACCAGCTGGACTGTGACTGAAAAAGCATGGAATAAAACTGGACTCTCTGAACATGGCGAACAATGAGGGCTGATGAGACGCAAAGGACAATGGCACAGGGTTTTGATCCTACTACATGTTCTGGCTTTGTGGGAGCCTAGCCAGTTTGGATGTTCACCTTCCTAGATATGGGCGGAGGGGGGAGGTCCTAGGTCTTACCACAGGGCAGAAAACCCTGACTGCTCTTTAGACTGGGGAGGGAGGGGGAAAGGAGTGGGAGGAGGGGGAGAAAGGTGGGAGGAGGGGGAGAAGGGTGGGAGGAGGGGGAGGGAAATGGGAGGCTGGGAGGAGGTGGAAACTTGGTTTTTTTTTCTCCTTTTCTCAATAAAAAAAATAAATAAAATAAAATAAATAAATAAATTTAAATAATAATAATAATAATAATAATAATAAAAAGTCCTGTCATGGCTGTGACCATACCTGTGCTAGAATCAAAGCCAAAAGTGCTTTGATTCAAAATGCTGCCAGTAACCATCTGAAAGAGCAGCAGTCCCACACCTCCCCCAGATGAGAATTATTAGTCATAAGCTAAGAAAAAACTGCCTTAAAAAATGGAATTGAGTGCCCATGAATGAGTATGGCCACTCAGATACTAAAAGTAGATTACTTTACTGTACCTTATGAACCCAAAATAAGCAACAAGTTTGGCCTTCAATCTAAGACCAATCCTTACTTGCTCTGGGTCATGGAGGTAGTATGTTGGACAAACACTCTCCTCCTTGGGTACAATGACACAAAGAGTTGTTCTGATATGGTAGTCACTGTGTGCCTGGCACCGTCCTAAGCATTTAACCTAGAAGAACTCACTTGGCCATCCTTATACGACTTGAGGCAATTACTGTTATTACACACATTTCCAGAGATAACAGAACTTCAGAGAATTTGAATAACTGCTCAGTGACAAGGTTGATAAATGGTGGAGCTATAATTTAAATCCATCCAGAAGTCTGGCCCTAGGATGTGTGTTCTTATGAGCACAAAGAATGGTTATTATTAATTGCTCTTGCTACTGTCCTGCAGTTAGCGAGAGAAAATGCACCACGGACCATTTTCAGAGTACAAGTCTAAATTTTATATTCAAGGCAAAGACTGTCTTACTCATCAATGAGTTATATTTAAACAGTGTTTACTTTATACAATAATCATATGTTAATTTGTTTCAGGACTGTTAGGAATGGGGTACAAATGAAGATCCATCATCGTCTCCATGAACGTACATGGATGCATATGCAATGGCTACACCTATAGGGCATCCAACAATTGTACCATGTGGGGTCCCAGCGTGTGTAGCATCACTAACACTAGACCTGGGGAAGGAATTCATGTTAGTTTAACCAAGTGGAGAAAGCAAAGAAAGTGGTACGTGTTAATCATCTCTGAAGATGCTGGGTCTTGTACTATATATATATATATATATATATATATATATATATATATGTTTATGCACGCTGATGCATTTCGTTATTAGAATCACTCACTAGATTTGTATTATTCTCAGTTTGAAGATAAGGTCCCACAATGAAATACTACTATACACTGACTGAAAAGGCCAGAACCCAAAATATGTATAGAATCCACCGCAGGCAGGCAGAGATGTGGAACATAGCAATCGTGTTCACTGCTGGTGGGATCCACAGCTAACTTTGGAAGACAGTTAAACACATTCCAAGCGCACTGTCCAACACATGTTCCTCGTTATCTAGTCAAATGAAATGAAATCTAAGTTGACGCTAAAACCTACACACGGCTGTTTATTCACACTTGCTAAAACCTGGAAGCAAGTGAAATGATCTTCAACAAGTGAGCTGATGGGTAGCCAGGTTTATATGCAGACAATGGGATGCTAGTCAGCCCTAGATAGACATGAACTAGCAAGCCATGCAAAGACAGGGAAGAAACTTAATTGCTTATGACTGAGTTGAAGGGCAAATTAGTGTGAAAAACTACGTAATGTATGGTTCCAACAAGGCAATCTAAGTAAAACAGATCAGTATACATGGCTGGGGAGGGAGGGATAAATGAGCAGAGCACAAAGGACTTGAGGGTAGTCAAGTTATTCTTCATGGACTTATAATGACAGAGGCCCCCCCCCATTATACATCTGTCCACGCTCGCGCAATACACATCACTGAGACTGGACCCCAGTGGATAGAGTACCGTGGATGATAATGATGTCTTAATGTAAGACCATCAATGGAACTAAGGTCCTCTTCGGGTGAAAATGCTGATGATACGGTTGCTGGGATACCGTGCATGGGGAATCTCTACTTTACGCTCCATTTCCCCATCAACTGAAAACCTCTCTGAAAAATGAATGGCATCTTTCCAAAAACAATCTCCAAAAGCACCTCCCTCTTTTAAAGAAGAAAGGAAGGAGGGAGGGAAATAGGGAAGGACAGAAAGGTTCCATTAAGTCAGAATTCATCAAGTCAAAAACATTTTATAAAACCTGACTTTAGCTATCACCAAACACCTTAGTTTCTCAAGGCTGTCAAGATCTCTCAATTTTCCTTCAGCATGTAGATAAGCTAGAATATTTTTATCTAGAATTTTTCTGAATTCTGATATATTTTTATACTGTAAGGAATTCGAATGGCTCATTAGTTTTGCAGTTGGGAAGGCAAAAATAAATAAATAAATAAACAAACAAACAAATAAATAAAATAAGCAACCTACTTTAGCCAGGCAGTGGTGGCACACACCTTTGATCCCAGCACTCCTGAGACAGAGGCAGGCGGATCTCTGTGCGTTCAGCCTGGTCTACAAAGTGAGTTTCAGAACAGTCAGAGCTGTTACACAGAGAAACCCTGTCTGAAAAAAACAGAAATAAAAAAGACCTACTTTGACTATGCTTTCATTATCAGGGTAATTGTTCGGTGCTTGGGAAAATCCTCTCAGATGAGCATTTTCCCTGGAGAGAACGGGTCTCTGTGTTAAGTAGAATGAGCAACAACCCCCTATATCTGAGAACTGGAAGAGTTTTGAGTCTGTTCTCAGAAGCACCAGAGTCAGGGGTTTAAACTGTGAACCTAGGAAGAAAAATATCAGTGAGAAACTCCCTTACTGGAAACATGCTGCCAGAATCGGAATTAGGAGAGAATTGGATGCCAGAGAAGGTAAGTTGAGAACGAGGAAGAGGGACAAAGAGAGAAGATAGAGCGTGCTCTATAATGGACCTGCTTGTGGTGGGAAGACAAAGAACCTAGGAACACTCATTTAATAAATGTTGCGTGGATTCTCATCTGGGCATGAATTCCCTCTTGCTATACCACCATCATCACTGATCGCTGACTTAAGTCATCTTCAGTAACATATGTGAAGGTGGGATGGGGATAAAGATTGGACCTGGGAAAGAGAAGCAAGCAGGTACACCATCAGGAGCAGGTGGGAGACAGCAGAGCCCAGGCAGAAGATGCCAGGCGAGAGAGGATCATGCCTGGAGGAGGTGGCAACAGAACCCAAGCAGCATATATGACTGGAGGGGTCTACACTGGGGTCTCCCATCTCTGCCACCTCCTGCAAGAGGCCTAGCTGATTAATAGAGCAATGCATGCCAACATTCATGTCTCATTGGCTTTTTAAATAGCGCTTGTCACTGCTCACTTCCTTTATGGCTTTCTCATCAAACAGTCTAGTAGTTCTCAAGTGACAATGATTTTGCCTCCTGGGATCCATCTCACAAATTCTGGTGACATTTTGGATATCCTAACTGAGGGTGTTCTACTCAAAATAGGGTGGGAAACGTCAGAGATTCTGCTTCCTAGTGTGCCCACGTGCCCTTCTCCAGAGCAAGAATTGGCTACCCCCAAACATCAGTAGTTCAAACAGAAATACAACAGAAGAAAATGCACAGAGGAAAGAGAGACGAACTTGTGTTGTGTGTATCTGTAACACTTCTAGTAGGACACAGCCCATAGTAGGGGCTCAGGAAGGAAATCAAAATGTTAGCCCTTAAGTCTCCCCCCCCCTTTATTTTTCAGCTCGAAATAAGAATCAGCGTAGGCTTCCAGCTATGTGTCTGTCTTCAAGTTTGCATTAGAGAAATGGAAAAGATGGAAAGGTCTCCCTCCTCCACATCCTGACCAGGTGATCTGCCCTCATATGATTTCCCACTATTTAATCTACACACCTGTGAGGATGGGATTAGGACTAACAGAAATGTTGCATCAGTATAACAACCATTTGATTGCGGTCCTCTCCTCTTTTAGCTGAAATGATTACCATGTGCTTAGAGTCTGAATAATGAGCTCCACTGAGGCTGCAAACCCAAAGGTCCCAAACTGTTGTAACCGAGAACAACCAAACGGCCACCAATGCTCTACCTTTTCCCACAGGTACCCGGCCACTTTTCCAGGAATGCTGTTTCTGTTTTGTGCTCCGGACTGTTTTAAATGACCTTAGCAGCAATATAGCACAACTCAGCACATTTTTCCAGGATCCCAGAAAACCATCATTCATAGTTCAGAATTTAAAGAAAAAACAAGACCCAAAGTAAGGCTCTGGAAGGGAAAAGGCAAATTCAATGACAGAACACAGTTATTATCACATGTCCCCAGGCATTCTCCTACTTACAATGTTAATATCTTTATTTTCATATACACACTTACTTGGGAAAGCCATATGATAGCTAAGAAAAAATGCTTTTAGGTTAACCACTAACAGATTCAACCATGGCAAGCCTGATGCCCTCCCAGAACATCACTTGTCCATATAACCAGCCAAGACCAAGACTTTACCCAATGCCCGTTTGTGTTACCTGGTTTTCTTGTTGGTCCCACAGGCATAACTGTAGAACCTGAGCCAGTTCCTGTCGCTGCTGCTGCAAGTACTTGTCCAGCTGTCGTCTCCTGTCTTGTAAAAGTTCTAGGAGGCTGTCGATCTTCAAACAGCTGCTTTGAGCTCCCTGAACCAGCTCAGCATTCACATCAGATCCGTCACACTTGAATTTTTCTATGAAGTCAGTGAGTTGCTGACTTTTGTTTAAAAGGACTAGCGATCTTTCTAAGAGTTCTAGAAGGTAATCGGGAAGAAAAATAATGTAGCAATGAGCATTTGTGTGGTTGTATTTGCATTCTTCATTTAATTTATATGTATAACATATTAATGATAAGCTACACTGAAAATAATTTAAATGTATAAACACCTAAAATGCGTTGGGATGTGTATGGTTTTTGAACTCCCATGGGATCAAACACATGTGTCTGTCAAATTGATCACCAGTTGTTACCTCTGTAGTGATTGTATTATATATTATAGAATGGGGATTCGAACCCTAAGAGCTGAAGAACCACCAAGAAGAAAGAGTGCTGAGGGGTAGGAGTTGGGAACAGTGCCCTGAGGTCAACACTTCAGCATCAGCTAGAGAAGCAGGAAGAGCATGTGCAGTCCCCACGAGCTAGGAGCTCCGCTTGCCTCCCCTTCAGTTACTTGTCTATCTTACACTCCCTCCCAGTGCCTGGATCTGTCTACTTCTCTCCATCCCATGATGCAAGTGTACCCTGGTGCTCGGACTTGCAGAACCCTCCCTTGACAGCATCCTCTCAAACCCACTCACCCACTCCTCACCTTTACCCACGGAGATCTTTGCACACACACTCTGTGGTATGTGATTTCCCCCAAACTGAAACAGTTATTCCTGAAGGCAAAAGGAAGGCTCCTAAGACTCTGGGAAACTAAAATACTTCAGTAAACTCACCAGACCCGAGAGCTCTAAAGTTATAAGACCCACAACCTCTGACCCACCCAGGATTACATGAAGAGAAAATAATTCCCAAAAGAGAGTCTTCTTGGTACATCTTCCAGCATGCGGCAGAGGCTTGGGAAGGAGGCCCTTAAGAGTCACCGCCCTCGCTGGGGTTGGCTCTTAGGAGACGCTGCTGCTTTTGAGCCATCCAGGCTCCTGTAACTCATTATTCCACCGATCTAAACACAGGGCTATTTAGTCTATCATGACAGCCCTATCTATGAGCAGGCATCTGTCCATGTCTCCCCAGGAGATACACACAGCACTTTGTCCTCCTCTCTCTCACCTTCTACATATTCCTCAACCTATTTCTACCTCCTTCCCATTCCCTTCTTCCCTTCTCTAAATCGCTCCCCCCCCCCCCCCCCCGCTTCCCCTCACTTCCTCTCTCAGCAATGACTTCCTTGCTTCAAAATGATGGGCTAGATTCCTAAAAGTAGATTATCCAATTTGCCATCACCCAATTTCCATCCTCCTTTTCCAAAAGTCTCAATGTAACTCCTTAAACTCTTCAGACATCTATACTTTCTCCTGCATCTCTGGTATCCCCTTCTTCCTCTGTCAAGAACGCCATTCACTTCGGCTCCCTCTATCTCCACCTCTCTCTACTCACATTTCCCCCGTCAATTGTCATTTCCTTAAAGAAGACACTGAACTGAATACTCCTAGTAAGCATCTTCATTGTGCAACATTACTTTCATTCATAACGCTTATCTTGGCTACAATATTACAGTTGTGTATGGTTACCTGGCTAATAGCTGCCCTTGCCACTAACTCCAGTTCAATATAATGACAGGACCATGGGTTCCCTACCAGGAACTGTTTCAGAAACACTGTTTCATGTCATTGAATTCAAACGAAAAGATTGGAAAGTAACCAGAAAACTGTTTTCTGGGCTGGAGAGATGGTTCAAGGGTTAAGAGCACTGATTGCTCTTCCAGAGGACATGAGTTCAATTCCCAGCACCCACATGGCAGCTCACAACTGTCTGTCATTCCAGTTCCAGGGGACCCGATACCCATGGCAAAACACCAATGTGCATAAAATAAAAATAAATTTTAAAAAAAGAAAACTGTTTTCTGGAAGAAGACTAACAAGCCAAGGTTAGTTCAAAAGACTAATAAGTCAAGGTTAGCCTAAAAGACTAACAAGACAAGCTTAGCTCAAAAGGAAAGGAAACAGTTGAGGCTGTGATAGTCTTCAGCTATCCAAAGCATTATACTCTGGTGGAACATTCTAGAAGCCAGAAACTCCAACCAGTCACCCTGTTCTGACCTAAGCCACAGCACAGTGGTCACCCAGGTGAAGTTAAAGAAGAAAAGTTGAGGTGGTTTCCTCATAGCTTCCAGTTACATTTGGCTATCATGGCATTCACTCCTATACCCCTCAACTGCTCACCAACTAAGAACTTTATTGGAACTGTTAACTCACATTTTATTCCTTTAAATCTAACGATGATGATAGATACAAAGCCCTTGACTAGCAATCAGAAATCTCATCCATTAATATGCACTTCAAATCATTCCATCGTGACCACATCCCACTAATTGGCTGATTAGTATAACTCCCATGTTATAAAAACAAAGCTCTTGAAGGCACCGCTGGGCCTTATTCATTAGGAACCAGCTCTTCTGATCACTGTCTCCTACAATCCTTCAAGTGACACGCGGAGGGGCTTAAAAAGATGCCAAGATTTATGCCACCAAAGACAAAGTGTGCTCCCTGTGTCCCGCTAGCATTCTAGCCATCTTGTCAACCCAAGAGCCCGCTCAGTAGACTTGCAAAGATTACTGAAAAGTAAGGCATGGTTTCGTTGTCAGCTGGATGCCAGGACAGTATAGCCTCAGGCTTCCTTAGAAAGACATGTCAGCTTGCTCCTTGTGTTACGTATCCTGTCACATCTGAAGAAGCCAGCAGAAGCAGAAAGGGGAATATAAGTACTGTCTGTCTCCTCTTCCAGCTCCAAAGATTCATGGGAAAGGCCCCACTTCCACAGGGTAAAACTACACGAGTGAAGTTGCTGTGTGATGATCATGTTGGCTGGGGGAGACTGCATTGAGACCACAGGACTGGACTCTCTTCTAGTCTTCTAGCAGGAATATTAGGTGATTCAGCGCTGTCCCAGGGGACCCAGCCACATAACTGCGGTCATGTCAAAACAGCCAACAGCCAGCTGACACTTTAGTGCTGAGTCTGCTCTTTGTATCTTGTAGTGACAGGTGTGGCGGACAAATCACCAGAAAAAAATCCATCCCTGCATTTGGTAGGCCGCCATCAAAATTTACACTGGAGACACTGTTATTAATCACTTTATTTTGGGAAACTTGCAGCAAGCGATAATAATGAAGAACTATTTTATAGAGATTTTGGAGAGCACTATAAAGTATGTGTGTGTGTCTTTAGAAACACACTTTATTACTTTAGTCTTGTTCTATTTTTCTAGCATGATCAAATGTTTTTGGGATCAAAGTCAATTTAAAAGTGACAAAGGCTACAGAGAAAGTCTGTCTATAAAACCAATAAAACAAAACAAACTATCGAAACTTGTGACAAATCTATGAACCATTTAACTCAGATCCAGTTCAGAATTTAAAAAAAAAAAAAAAACGTATTACAAAGAGGCAAAGACACCATCCTCACCCATTTATCTACATTATCTTCACAGGTGACGCATTCCCTACACCAGTCAGGCTAGGTTCAAGATCCCCGGGTGAGGCCCTGGCACATACACTCTGTTTTAACAATTCAACTCTTGCTACTCGAAACTCTGAGAGCAGAAAATATTCTGCATGATGTTTTACTGGACTTTTATCCAGAAAAGGACCCTGTTTGTTTTAACTGTAAGGATGAAAGAGAGTCTTCCTCACTCACAGTTGGTGTCTAAAGGCTGGCTTGCATTTATCGACCTTTAGATGGGACATGGACTGAATTCAGCCAGTGAGTGTAGCTTAAGGATCCATGGGACTGCGCACCTGGTTGGATGCTGGATGCTGGGGATGGAGGTCTGCACAGGAGAGAGGAAGCCTCTGTTCTCAGGGATGGAGATCTACAAGACCCACAGCTAAACTTCCCCTAGTGTCACCTACAGCTAGAACTCTCTTTGAGAAGGTGGCCAAAAGCAAAGCTTTGTTTATCTTTTTTGGAACAAAATAAACAGCAGAAAGATCTCCAAATACTGTCATTCACAAGAACCTATAGCCATTTCTTGCCTTTGGCGTGGCGGTCATGAAGCTGAAGAAGCAACTGTAAGGCCTCCGCGCTCTCAAACTCATGTGGATTCTGCAGAAATGCTTCAGTTTGGTCTATTTTTACAGCAAACTGAAAAAAAATAGAGAGACATTAAAATGATACAAAGCAATGGGACATTTATTATATTTATGGATTTTTGTCATGCATTAATGGCCTAGCTGACTCAATATGATGGGAAGATATATGTTAGCATGTTCTAATCTAGAATAGTATGCATGAATTTTCATGTACTAAATTTACAAAATGCCATGGCTTCTCCTCCATTTTTATTTCTTTTCTAACTAGAAATACATTATATATGCTAAAAAATAAACCACCTTATTTATGTTCAAGTACCTAGTAAGTTTTTCAACTAAAATTATCTTTTCCAGATTCTGTCTTCCCTACAGCCATAAATTCAGTAACTATCAATACTCTAAGGTAAGTTCTCAGTGAATAGCCATAAAACTTGCTGGCAAAAATCAGCAAAAGATTGGCTAACCAATAATCCATAAAATCACAAGTAAATTTAACATAGAGAATATGTAGGTAAATATTGTGTTATTTTTTTCCTCTGTGTGTTTAAACTTAGGCAGAGACTATAGATATTTGCGACTAACAGTCTAATGTCATTAAAGAAAACACACTCGGGCATACATGTGCATGTGTACACACATGTAGAGGAAGAAGAGATGGGAACTAAAAAGAAATGTACCAATTTGGTTAATTTTATAAGAAGGGATGTGACTGGGGAGGAGGGAGAGGAGGCAAGCTTTAGCTTTGGAATCTTTAACTGATAACCTGATTTGAAGTTGTGTCAATAGTATTTGTGCCTCATTTGTATAACTAAAAATGAGACTGGATAAAGCAGAAATGAAAACTGGACTATTTCTCCACTTCAAAGGAGGGTGTATAACAATAAAACACACCAATGGTGACCAATATGAGCAATTTTATTTAAAAACATTTTTAAAAGTAAATTTGAGATGAAAAGATATGTGAAGTTAGGATAAAAGCCCCAGAGAGATAATCTTAAATATAAATTTTAGGTGGGAGCAAAGCATAGTCAAATATTCTATTACAGTTTCCCCATAGTGACCATCAGTTGATGGGTTTCTGCACCTATGTTTGGTAGGTATTATCATTGTTTATAAACAACATGGTAAAACATTCACCTTTGATTTAGAATGAAAAATAAAGGCAAAGGATCCATGAGAAAGACAAAGGAGCCTCCCACTGCACTTGACTCCCTGTTTTGCTTTTCTAAAATATCATCTTTGAATTTGGTGATCGCTAATACTTTAGGAAAGCCCTTGGCTAAAAGGTTGTATCATATTTTGATTACAACAACAGCTGCAGCCCTAAGTGGTGTGGAATGGTGAGAGGGGCTGGTGAGCATGTCCCCTTTGAAAAACACAGAAGGCCTCTGCCATCTTGTAGGACACACTAATGGACACTGGCCACTGTCACTCAGCTGCACTGTTCCCAAACCCCAGCAGTGTTTGAGAAGCCCCTCACGTGACAGTTGAGCCTGTGGGTCAGATTCTATCCTATAATAACCACCATCCAGCCCATCATAACTTCTCTTAGAATTCTACATTCTGGCATGGTTAGTTACAGGGGCTCACACACACAAAGTGTTCACATTGCTCCTTCATCCATGCATGCTCTCATAACTTATTTTTATAAAGAATCTTCAAAAGAGAAAAAAGCTATAGGTTATTTGTTGTTTTCCAGGAGAACATTACAGAAAGTTTACATGGTATAGTTTATATCTCTCTTTCAGATTCTTAGGCAAATTGTTTCAAGTGTAAACAAACGAGGCTCTAACATTCCTTGATTTATGAACTCTTCCCTTGTGGATTTTTTTCCCATCTAAAACTTATACTTTTCTTTTTTCTGTCGTTTGAACAGAGTAGAAATAGCAGTGGGGGATTTCAACAAGAGTTAAAGTTAATTTCATCATCTTTTTTTTCTCATTGCTGAAACTGCTTTGCCACGGAGAAGCAGCCTGCAGATTCCATAGCACTCTGCTTCCACTTAATGCGAGGGGTTCAAGGCGTGGGAAGCAGGCTAACAGGCGTAGTTAGTCATCTTCCTAGAGCCAATAAAAGCTCACTCAAGTGAACGGATAAGAGCACCTAGTTAATCTGCTTTGGCTTAGTATTTCCTTCTACTCCTTGCAATATCTAGAAGCAATTTCCGCATCAGAGAGAAAATTAGCTAGCATTAACACTAAACTACACCAAGAAACAAATATTGAGCCGAATGTAAGGAAGAGATAATCTGCTCTGCTCAGGAGTACTGGGTTTCAAAGGCAGTCCCATTTTTACCCCTCCTACCAGGATGGGATGAATCGGCTAGCGCTGCAATTTGGCTTCTGTGATTATATTTCCGCTGCCTTATTTCTTCTTTCAAGAAAGGAGATCATATAACCCCACACCCAAGATGGCCTGTAAAATGGGGTCAACTGTGACATGTGACTCTTGAAAGCTACAGTAAGGGTTTGGTTCCTCTTCTGAGTGAGTTCACGGTGCATGAGATTGTCGTTGTCAAGTTTTATGGTCATTACTCCAGATTTAACTCCTAAGAATGCCATGGTTTTCAAAGCTAGAGTTCTATCATAGTGAAGTAGCCTTTGGTTGTTAGCAAGAGCAGGCTGTGCCGCTGGACAGGAGTTAAAATGGGAAATTGCCAGGAAGTATTTTACAAAAAATATACATCTTTGGAAAATGTTTGGTCTCATATTTTGAAATCTAAAATCTCCATAAAGAAGAAAATGTAAAATATAAATAAATAGATAAGTAAACTAAAGAAAATTACAGAAGGAATTCAGTGACCATTCATCTACATCGGAACACAGTAAAAGAATGGAGCTGTGTGAGGAGATCGCTGAGTGCTTGGAAGAAAATTCCAAGAAAATAAGACATGAGTGTTGTAACCTCGGTGTCTTCAGAGCACAGAACTGCTCCTGGACAGTGTCCTCTTGCTACTCTCAGGTAGAGCAGATGGGGGGGGGGGTTTGCTTACTTCAGCTGTCAATCATATGGCTCTATGGAAAACCACATGCAGCTTGTTCTTATGAGGCCTTGGTCCACCTCTTTTTAGGCTCTGGGTAAAGCTGGCTATTGTATGAGGCCTTGGTCCACCTCTTTATAGGCCCTACTGTCTCAGGGTCACACTACTAACTACAGAAGTAAACACTCTGAAGTGTAGGGTCTTGTTCTTCCTTTACTACAGTTAGATAGGTTTAAACTTTAGAAATTCACCTATATTCCTTAGGATAATTTGCTATGAAATACTTTGTAATTAATTTCTCAAGTGAGCAGAGGAAATCTTATCCTCTGACTTTTAGCCAATAAAATCCTCCACATCAGCATTGCCTACTAAGTAACCAGATTACTTAATCTGGTTAATAATCTGCAATAAGAGTAACCAGATTCCATGACTACATTACTATCTTCTAAAGAGGGAACTAGATCAAAGGGGCATAGAGTTCCACTTAACTATCTATATTTATACGACTGATGGTTTATATTTAAAATATTAATTTTATTTTCTCAAAATATACTAAATGTGTTGCATACATCTTGGTTATTCTGCCATTTTGAACACTCATATAACATGTGCTTAAGAAGTCAAATATTTTTGAGTGTACTAGTTATTTGCATTGATTTGGAGAAGCAAATGGTTTTTGAAACACCAACCTCCAAAGCACTTTCAAAAAACTCTGAAGTCAGTCCAAGGAGCTCCCTTCTTTTCTCAAGCATGGAGACCAGGGTTGCCCACGCTTCACCCAGAGTCTGGGCCATGGCATCATACACCTGACTTTGAGCCTTGTTAGCTTCCGCTGTCCTGTCTGCTTCTTGTAAAAGTTCCCATACACGATCTTCCAAGGCCTAAGTCCAAGAGAACAAAAGGTACAGTCAGTGTGTCGTCCAGCGTGAAAACAAAGCACCCCATTTTAAACACAAAAATACCTGAATATGTGATCCAGGAGTCTAGAAGTTAATTTTGTTTTGTTTTGTTTTTCGAGACAGGGCTTCTCTGTAGCTTTGGCGCCTGTCCTGGAATGAGCTTTGTAGACCAGGTTGGCCTTGAGCTGTCAGAGAACCATCTGTCTCTGTCTTCTAAGTGCTAGGATTAAAGGCATGCCACAACCACCCAGCTAGAAGATAATTTTGTAATTCATAAACCCAAATCATATTTCCTCTTGCTTCCATGTGAATGTTTCTGCTCTTTTACCTACGAACATGCTCTATAGACTTGTTTCCTGACTTTTAAACTCTTGAAAATCTTCTCCAGCAACTCTCTCTAACTGAACAAACTGAACCTCCTCACACCATCTTCACCAGGTCTACTGCTCACCTGACTACCCAGAACAGCTTTGTCAAAGATCACCTTCATTCCCCCTGCTCCACCTCAGCTCCCTTCAATTCCAAGATCCAGTCATTAGCATAGCCCACTTTTTTAAAGCCTCTCCTTTTGGCTTCCACCTCACACCTTGGTTTGTTTCCTTGTTGGTCCTCATAGCTTCCATCCGTTTTTGGTCATCGTGGCTTCCTGCCTTGTTGGTCATCATTGTTTCCTCCCTTGTTGGTCCTCATGGCTTTCATCCCTTGTTGGTCCTTATAGTTTCCTCCCTTGTTAGTCGTCATGGTTTACTCCCTTGTTAGTAGTCATGGCTCCCATCCCTTGTTGGCCATTATGGCTTCCATCCCTTGTTGGTTGTCATGGCTTCCATCCCTTGTTGGTTGTCATGGCTTCCATCCCTTGTTGGTTGTCATGGCTTCCATCCCTTGTTGGCCATTATGACTTCCAACCCTTGTTGGTTGTCATGGCTTCCTGCCTTGTTGGTCATCATGGCTTTCCCCCGTGTTTTTTGTCATGCTCCTACTCCAGGCTCTTCATCACCCAAGCCTCCTGTGTGGCAATGCCATGTGGATCTTTCTAACTTGAAAGTAGGACTGTGCCACTCAGCAACTTGCAAATCTTTCTGACTGATTTGCAGGCAAAACTCAGTCAGAGCAAATCAGGCCTTGGTACAGAATTTGACTTCCATTCTCACCTCTCTCCACTCCTTCTGTAATACTTTTCTCTATAGACAATAATCCATGAGTCAGCCTGGAATTCTCTCCCTCCTAGTCACACACCTCTCTTTATTTCACCCCCACCCCCGGCTCACTTGTCTACACAGTTTTCCCCATTGGTCAAGACATTGGAGTTGTGGGTCTTACCTGACCCTCAAATTTCTTTCCTGAATGAATTTAGGGCCTTACCCTTTTAAAACCACTTTCAAGTATATAGCAATTATAACTGTTTCTTCTGGGCCGGAGAGATGGTTCAGTCATTAAAGGCTGGGCTTACAACTGAAAATATAACTGTTTCTTCTGATTATAAAAGTAACATACAAATATTCCTCAATAGTGAATACAGATATTCACTTTTTAAAACATATACTAGAACATATTTAGGGAAATTTTTTTCAAAAACATGCCTTAATCACTCACTTTTGTTTTTCAATTTTTTATTAATCCTCTATAATAAAATGATTATTGTATGTATAAATATAAATGTATTCTCCATGAGGAACAGTTATTGATGTTGGATGCCTTTCTGTATGCTGTGAAGATGTTTTATTAACATTGCTTAATGAAGAAGCTTATTTGGCCAAGAGCCAGGCAAAATAAAACCAAGCAGGAAATCCAAGTAAAGATAAAGGGGGAAAGAAGGTGGAGCCTAGGAGATACCAGCAGTCACTGGAGAAGCAAAATGTAAGGTAGCACCATAGGTACGTGGCAATACATAGATGAATAGAAATGGGTTAATTTAAGATGTAAAAGCTAGTTAGTAATAAGCCTGCGCCATCAGTCAAACAGTTTATAATTAATACTTAGCCTCAGAGTGGATATCTGGGAACTGGTGGGCAGGAGAGAAGCCTCCAGTTACAGTCTAGAAACCATCTGATACCCACTGTTGACTGTCAGACTCTAATCCAGTTCCTTCCTTAACCATGAGAGAATCAACAAGCGAGAGAAATGACTCTAAATTCTTGATGTCTTTGATCGCTGGCCAAGAATGAGCTTACGTGTTACTCCAATGCTTGCAAACTTTTATTCAGTGGGAACCATTGGGATCCTGGCTCCAGTCAGAAGAAAAGGCTCAGCTTGATGAAAGAAGGTTAGATGTTGAGTAGACTGAGTTTTCAAATCTGATGATACCTTATCTTTCTAAACTACAGAAGGTGCTAGATGTGATGAAGTTTGAGGAACAGCCCAACTCCTGCTAAACATCAGCTACAAAATTTGTTCCCTGTGTTCTTGCCCACAATTCAAAACAGAATTCATTGTAATTTTAAGTAATATTTTGAGATTTTTTTTTTACATTCATGAACATGGTCTTTCTCTGGAATTTTGCTACATGGTATAAATACTTAATACTTGTAATTATCCATCCTTCAATTTTATCTAGCTTATTTTAAACTCTAAAAATGTGCTGCATTCATTTATTTATTGTGAGTGGACAGATGTGTGGCATGGTGAACTTAGGGAAGTCAGAGGGCAGCTTTTGGGAGTGAGTCGGTTCTCTCTCTCCACAGGGGGTCCCAGGAAGTGAACTCAGGTCATCATCTTATTTGAAAATCCTTTCCCTGCCGAGCCATCTCACTCATCCTGAACTTTTCCCAGCTCTTACTTTCTTGATACTCAGAATAGCTGACTCTCTTCGTAAGCTCAGAACTCACTCTAAGTGCATCTTTTGGCTGTGACACCCTGTGAGGGAACCATACATCCCACTGCACACTGGAGACAACCAAGGACTTCTACTTCCTGATTATAACTCCCCTTGCAAGTATATCTTCTTTGTATGGTCACTTTTCCTGAGTCCCTTGGGAATTATATACCCTGGGTGCCCCCTCTGGAGCCTTCTCTGTGGTCTTCCCAGACCCTCATTCCTTCTTCCTTATATGTGATTTACTAGAAAAGCTCTTTCTTAGCTTTGGTGTCACCTTTAAGTCAACAAAAATGATACAAGGTCGCATGAAATACCACATGGAAAAAGCAGACACTGTCTAAGGTGACAACATTTTCTCGTCCATTTTCAAAGTCTACAGGGAAAAAACACAAATCCTGTCCTTACTTTGGAAAACAAGTGTCAGGGTCCAGCCCTCATGGGGCCTGCATGTTTCAGGGTAGGGCTTGTGGATTAGAAATGCCCGGCAGACAGACTAGAGATCCAGAAGAAAAAGTCAGAGACAGACTAGAACCGGGAGGGTAAATTGGTGAATACTGAACTTGCCCACATTTATTTTCTATATGCTTATATACCCCAATCCAAAAAGTGGGGGGTGTCTGCTTTAACATGATACAAAGAACAAACAAAGCAATTACCTCTTCAGTACCTGAAGCATCAAGCAGATATTCCCTAAGTTAAGCATTCTGTTGTTTAAGCAGGACATGCATCAATCACATAGGCCAAGCCTCCTGTAGGCAGCCACTCCCTGGGTCAAACCTCCTGTCATCTCCTTGAAGGAGCAGGAAATATACCTGAACTCTCTGACCATTGGTCAAGGTGGAATGGATCCACCTTTATGGGCCATTTAATACCCCAAACACCAAGTTACCACAGCCTAGGTCAAGATATCTTGTTAGTAGCCACACCTTAAGTCAGACCTCTTGTCAATAACCCTGAAGGAGCAAGAACAGGCCCAAACTCTGTGACCTCCAGCCAAGGTGGAACGGACCCACAGAGAAGCCACAGATACGAAGAATCCATTCTCAAGTTGACGAAGCCTCAGGGTAGTCACTAAATGAAATACTCAGATTAATCGACAGCAGCAGCAATATGATTTTTTAGGCTAGTTGTTTCACAGAACAAATGGGGTGTCCGGTTTACAGCATAAGCAGACTTTGTGTTGACAATGAGCTATGGCACTTTTAAGACGAGCAACTCATGAAAAATGAGTTGCCTCAGGACTCGGTCAAGGCCAGCTTAATTTAAGTTTTCCTTTCCCACTTGGCTGGCCATTAAACTCGGGGAAAGTATCTTGGAATTGGATCAGAGAAAGACATTCTGGCCAACATCATAAAGCTTGTTATTTAAAGAGTCGCTGAAAGGAACTACTTTCCCTTTAGGTTGCAGAAGCTTGGAAAACCAAGGCTATTCCGCGTGTCTCCAAAAAGGCACTCTATCTCTTTAAGTGTGGCTTCGCAATAGTCAGCTTTAAGTAGAGCATATTTTATGGTCATTGAACCACCTGAGCTGCCACACGGAGCACAGAAAAGATTACAGACTTCCTTTTCAGCGGAGCATTAAATGGTACCCTGAATAGCAATTCACTAAAAGATCAAATACATGTGGTGCATCACGAATATGTAACCTGACAGGGTAGTCTACCTGGAACAGAGACAGGCAATCTTTTTGTTTATAGAAATCACCTTAGTTTTACCAAGGGAACTGGAAGTAATTAGTTTAGGACCTTTGGAAGCAAAGAATAATGAACATTCTCGGAACTGTAAGTAGTTAAGTTTAATTATTTTTTTGTCAATCTCTGGCATGCAGCATTGGGGATCCACTGGCTTTGCCGTCCCTTTTAACTAGAACATTCCCCATGTTTGCTGTTGCTTATTTAAAACTCCATTTGCCTTCCAGTCTAATGTCAATTCTGCTCCCTCCATGAGGCCCTCTTCCCACATTAGCCAATAGTAATTCCTCTTTCTTGTGGCTGCCTTTGTCTCTTCCCACCTTCCTTTCTTGGATGTAGCATCGCACCGTGCACACACTCAGGAGTGAGCGCCTCACGCTTTCTGTAGATTGCTGAGTGAAAATGAGGCCTGCCTTGTTCATTTTGTGCTGCTCCTCTGACAGTATAATCTTTCAACGTCAAGAAGAAGCTGCCTCA